ACAAGGGACAGCTGTGAAAGGGGCTCTTAGGAAGAGAAAAAACATCCCAGCTCCTGCCCAAGCTTCAGCTCCGGCTTCACATCAGTGGGCGACAGGGACGGGTGGGTGGCCAGTGGGTTGGGAGGTCTTGTCGGAGCCAGGACACGGAGACTTTCTACCCGTTTTGCTGAAGGCTGAAACTGCCGTTGGAGGTTTATTTCTCCTGCTCACACGGAGATAAAGCAGCTCTGATTTACCTCCGGCAGGACTGCGCACGGAGATGAGTAATCTGTTTTCTTAAGGGTTTTTTTTTTTTCTTTCTTTTTTCTCACTCTCATCCCTGGGCAAGCGTTGCACTGGGTCACTCCCTGAGCTCGCAGGTTTTCCTGTTAATCTGTAATTTTGATCATTGCCGAGGTGAAGGAGCAAATATTTTGCTCTGCAAATTGCCCTCCCATTCCTTTTGCAAAGACTTGATAGAGAAACTACCTATGGCTTGGGCATTATTTTTAGGAAATTCGTGGAAGGACTTGTCTAATGCTAGAAGTAATGAGGAGTAATTAAAACTCATGTGATGCTGCCAAAGTCCTGGAAAATTCCCTCCTCCTTTCTTCTTTTGATGCCCCAGCCCTGACCAAAAAACGCTCTTCCTGCATTTGTTTACTGACTTGGTGAGGATTTAACAGTCTGGGGTCTCTGCTGTCAGCAGGACTGAAAGTTTTGCTTTTGCCTGGAAAAACGGGAAAAAAAAGCCTTTAATGAGGATTCCGAGCCTGGCACAGCTTCCTCAGAGAGGGGGAAAGACAGGGGCCAGACCATGCTTCCAAGCACTCAGGGAAGATGTATCGAAAAGCAGATCTGTGTCTTCAAACCAGCCTTTGAGTACGGAAACGGAGTTACAGCACGTGCAAGGGCTTATATTGTCCTCGGCACTCCCCGTGGCCTCATTTGTAGCTGCAGACGCACGGACGCACATCTGTCGGGGGTGCAGACCCCACATTGCTTCCTTTGGCTTAGAAGATCTTGTTCGGGAGGGGAAAAACCATCATTGCCATGGGATGAAACAGAAAGGAGGTGGCAGAGCCTGAGGGATTGTCTGTCCCGGGAGGCACATCCCTGGTTAACGCATTTTTTCAGGAACACAGTCCTGTTTCCACAGGCCAGCCTCGTCCTTTCGGCATCCCTCCTGGCAGGGCAGCTGGTGGGGCTCTGGTGGGGTCCAGCGGCACGTGCCCCCGGGGCTGCGATCCGCATACTCACTCCCTGAGAAGATGCCATCAAGCTCTTGCCTCCACCTGGTTCCCATTGCTCCTTTCTTATGCCCATGCAAGTTCCTGGTCCTGCGGGGGTATTTCAGCCCGATGCAGAGACATTTGTCGTTCCCACTGCCATCCTCACCCCCCACCTTGCAGCTGGGCTCTGTGTGGTCTCCCAAAGCCAGAACCGTTTGATTTTGGTTTGGTGTTTTTCCTTTTGGCTTTGGATGCTCTGAAATCTGGTGGAAAAGGCCATCTGAGGGAGGTTTCGCTTGCAAAAACATCCAGTACCTCCTGAGCACGGCTGCTTGGAGGAAGTTTCCTACCACTTATCTTCCCTCCTCCTTCGCTTGAAGATCATGAGATGCAAATTTGGCAGTTTCAGTCATCGCTGACTTCATTCCCCTGTTGACCTTGAACTCCCTTAACCGCGGCAGAAACCTCACCGAGGGCTAGACCTGACCATCCTCTCCTAGGCCTTGGCTGGAAACCCTTGCCCCGGCAGGAAAAATAAACAACTAATAAATAAATTAATGTGGTTGAGATAACAGCCAAGGGCAGAGCGAAGGAGGAAGCAAAGCGGGCCAAAGCTCAGCCTGGAGGCAGGAGGTGTAGTCGGGGCTGCACCCATGGGGCAGGTGGGCAGCAGGGGCAAGAGCATCCCTGCCCATCAGGTCGGGCAGGAGAGGACCAAACCCTGCTCTTCCCCACTGCCACCACTCCCTGGTACCGCCACCAGCAGCCTGCTGACATGATGGGATTTCAGCCAAAACACGCTGATACAAGAAGGAATTTCCACCTGAATTCCTCCTGCTTGAGTTTTGGCCCCGGGACCTTGCAGTGAACACGGCAAGTGTCTCTGTGGGGCGGCAGTGGGGCTGAAGGACGCTGGTCGGGGCTGCTCTCCCAGCCGCTCGCCCAGGGCTGCCGTCGCTTTTGGACTGGCACAGGTGGTGACTCAGCTGGCCAGGCTGATTTCACTTCCAAGAGGAAAAAACAGATTTTTTTCTTGTGTTTTGTTTTTAATAAAAGTATCTTTCAGTAAGAACTCAAGGAACCGGGAGTCTTACGAAAGGACAGTCCCCCTCCCCAAAACCAGAGGAAGGAGATGAGGGCTGGCAGCAGCGGAGCCGGCGTGGAGCTGGCTGTGGATGAGGAGCTTGCACACGCGGAACACACAGCCCACCTTTATTGCCGCTAGTAAAGATTATTTGCTGTTTATAGCAGAGATTCCTCTCCTGTGAGGCAGATGAAGCGTTCAGCTAGCATAAAGCTCCTGAGTCAGCTGGAAGTACCAATGCACCCGTCCTGGGGCAGCTTTGTGGGTGCCAGTGGCAGG